GGCGTGAATAACGGAAGAGGAAAGTGAGAGAAAATGTGCGAGAGCTTGAGGGACCGACCGATCGGCTATCTCTTATTTCTTCTCGTCGATAACTAACATTAATAAATGTTCGATTGTCTAACCCTATTGAACGGTTTCTTTCTTTTTTTTTTTTTTATTTTTACTCTTTCTGTTTTTATACAATTTAGAAAAAAAGAAATATATATATACTTTTTTCTAGAAATTTTCTGATATTAATCATGTCGATTCTAATGATAAGAATATTCATATAGTTTGTTGGTTGATTAATGAAAAATAATAAGAATTTCTGTCTATGCTATTAGTCATTTTGTTTGAAGAGAAGATTTTTTTAGGTAGCTAAATAAATTTTTCCGATTGATAGTAGCGACAATGATGTGGTTATGTAATGAATTTTGATTTATTGGAAAAACAAGAAAAGAAAATGAAAAATAAATATTGAAAATTATTTTTTTATTTTTTTTTTCAAAAAAAAAAGAACTTTTTATCAATTTTATTGGATTAGATGTCAGCTGATAATAACTAAATATTATTTTTTTTTTTTTTTGATTATAGAATATTTCGTTTGTTTTCTTTACATGCATGTTCAGAAATTCTCAACAATATTTACTAATGAAAAGTAGTCATCGTGGTGACCGATTGCATCCATATGGCAATATCATCATATCTACTTTTCAACCACATCGGTAATCTTGTTGTTGTTTTGTTTTGTACGTTTGAATAAATATCGTTTTTGTTTTCTTTCTTTTATAAAGATCATTTGTATTAACAAAATGTCGATATAAAAAACCAGATCTTAATGCTCGAAATTATTATGATTTATTAGGCATAGAACGAACAGCTACACGAAAAGAAATTCGTACAGCATTTCTGAAATTATCAAAAGAGGTTCGTATCATCATCATGATGTGATATAAATAATAGTTAGATGAATATGATGAGTAGATTTCTATCAGATTGATGAGAAAAAGAAAAGATTCATTTTTCGAAAAATCTAAAATTTTTTATGAAAAATTTTCGTGATCGCGAAAAAACTAATTGCAGATTCGGAATTTCTCGATCCTGAAGACCTTTAATCAAACTTTATAAGAGATTGTGATTTTTCGATAGCTCAATATCTTCATTCCTCTCATCTCAATAAAAGAATATTTATTTTCATTGAAATTTTTGAGACTATCTATAAAGAAAACTAAGTCTACAGTAAAAAATTTACTAAAAACGATCATAATTCGACATCTATAGATTGTGAGTTCGAATCTTTTTAAGGTTTTCTTCGTATTACCGAAGCTTAATCATAATCATTATCTATAGTCGAACGATATCTGACAGTTGTATATGTTCCTTTATTAAGAAAAGTTTAAGAATTGAAGCTAAAACTATAGAGAAATATTCACTGTCCGATCTCAGCATAGGAAAACTATGGCCTTGAGCCAATTTTAACTGTAATTTGATTTGAAACTTTAAAATTGATACATTCATTTAACCATTTACTAACATAAAAAAAAAATTCTAAGTCAAGTTGATTATTTGTAGTTCTCAGTTGACTTATTATTTTTTTTTTAGAAGATTTGACTAAATAATAACAACGATAAATACTTTGAAATTTTATACAAAGGCGAAGACCATGTAGATTTATTATTAGTACAAAGTATTAATTTTTATGAAAATTGTGAACATGATCAAAGTCTAAAAAAAAAAAAGATAAAGTTCGAAATGAATATCATACGGATACTTATGATTACTTTAATTTTTACTCAGAAGACTTGAGACATATCTATGACTTAACATTTTCTCAGTTTGCATTATATATTCATTTAATATGAATTAATAAATTAATCTTGTGTTTTTTTATTTTTTATTTGATATAGTATCATCCAGATTCTAATGCAGCTGATAAATCTCTTCATGAAAAATTTGTAAAAATCAATGAAGCTTTCAGTATCCTTAGTAAGCAATCAACACGTACTACCTATGATCAAAGTAAGAAAAGAGAAAAATAAAGATTTTCTTTTATTATTTTGTGAAATAACTTTTATATCGTAATTCAAGCTCTTAGTTCTTCATTTTCATCTCAATATCAACCTTATTCACAACGTTATTCATCATCTCCTCCACCTCGTCCACAACAAACACATGGTTCTCCATTCGATTGGACCTATACAAACTTCAATAGTAGAAGTCACTATCAACAGCAATGGAATGCAAATGAATCAGACTGGTAAGAAGGTGCGTTTTTATTATTTAATAAAACTAAAAAGAACAAAAAACATATTTTGTTTGTTGTTTTAAAGGAGAAGAGCAAATTTTGATAGAACATTTTTCGATATGCTTCGTCGAAGAATGGAACAAGATCGAAAACGTACAAATCAGTATTCATACAATTCATCACCAACAATGGGAATGATTAATACTTATTTTGCACCATTTTCTATTATTTCATTTCTTATTGGATTTGGCATTTTAATTCATGCACTTCAATGGCGGTATGAATATTAAAATTTACTAATGTCGGCGCCAGAAGTAGATGGAGAAAACTCAAGGAGGAATATCTCCTGAACGGATGCAGCTAGCGACCTGCGGTTTTCACCATTAGAAAGAAAACAACCAGGGACATCCACACATGGTAAAATATAATTGGTCAGCAATGGGCCAATCAGATGCATTCTCGATGGAAATGTTGAGCACGGTATTCTGGAGCTGTTTCTCAACTTTGCTCGATTGTTAATTTACGTTTTTGATAGAAAAAA